CCTGCTGTGGAAGCAAAGGACGTGGTTACTCGATCATTACGCCTCCACATCATCGAGCCCTCGGCCATTACGGAGGATGAGCTTGCCGAACGGGAAGCTCTTCGAGCTCGTTTCTTGGTTCCACAAGAATTTCCTTTGAAAGCTTATCGCAGTCACCAGCGTGCTCAACGAGGTGGGTCTATTGTACCCGCAATGCGGACGATTACTGTAGCGCTCGCCCCTGGCGAAAGCGCTACAGATGACGGAGCGCTCTTTGAGCGATGGATGCAACGACACCGCAAACTTTCCTCACTGTATGTCTTACAGTTGAGCCACAGGGAAGCGGACGTGCGTGTGGAGTGACACCTCCGATTTGAGTTTGCCAAGCTTAAAGCACGCCGTCCACTCCCTTCCCATTGTCGCCCTGCGACGTATGGGTCAACCCCGCACGCTCCCGCGAGCTCTGTGTCTGTGACCGCAAGAGCTCGGGCCCACCGCTTGAGCTCAGCTCATGACCCTTCTATTTCCTTGGCTCTTGCCGAGAAGCGCGAGACGTCTTGATCTTTCTGATCGAAAGGATTCACGGCGTCTGGGCAATCTTGCCGAAGTGGCGTCACTAAACTCCCACGAGTTTTCGGAATCGGAATATCCCCACCACTTCACCAGATATTGGGTCTGACCCTGGTGACGACGTCGTCGCACTAGACGTTCCGCAGGTGGACGTCACCGTTCTCATCGAGAAGAGTCGGTGGTGGGCGGTGACGACCAGGTTGAGCGCCGTCCGGTGACTTGCGTTGCTCTTCGAGCCCTTGAAGATGAGATCCTTCATGATCGGAGCTCCGCTGAGCGTCATGGTGAAGTAGCATATCGCTGTGCGGGCGCTCTTGATGATTTAGAGCGCGTCGTGCGCCGGCTTCCTCGCCATGAGGACTACCGCGCTCTGTCGGAGCGACTCCTAGCTGTGGAGCAGGCGAATGCGCCGCTGCAGGCATTGGTGGGGCGCTTGGCGCCATTGGAAATGGAGGTTGTTGATCTTCATGCTCAGAACCAGTTGCTGGTTTAGCTTCTGGGTGGCTGAGGGCCCGTGGGATCCGCTCTGGCGCCAACGCTTCCGCATTCACTTGCGCC